GCCCTGGGCGCACCAAGGCCCACCGCCACCTCTGCAGGTCATGGACTGGCCAGGCCACGGCTCCTAGCATTTCTCCCCAAAGATGTGTGTCCCCCGGCCAGACCTGGAAGGCACGTGAGCCGCCCAGGAGCAGCCACGGGCAGGAGGGAGCCTGGGCGGCGACCCGACTGCGCAGAGCTCGGCGGGGCAAGCCCCAGACCTGCCCCCAATACTCTCAGCCTGTGTCTCCTGGACAAGGCCCAAGGGTCACTGTCCCTGGCCACATGTTCTGTGTCTTTCTCCCCCTTACTCATGACACCCCCCGCTACGCTTCACCTGCTCCTACACCTTACGCCCTTCCCTTCTCCCTCAGCCGTCAGGACAGCCCGACCCCCACTGGAACCCCACCCCACCTTAGTCTTAATCTCTCCCGTCATCCACTTTTCTTTATATATTGTTTTATGCACACAAGAGCTGGGGTACAGGCCAGAGTGAGGTGGGGGTGAGAGGACTCACCAGAGACAGAGCGGGGAGAGAACAGGCAGATGGACTGAAACACACTGCTGAGGGGTGCAGCGGGGAGACAGGCGAGGTCTGCTGTGCCCTGGGGTCCCTCCCTGGCCAGGGCTGCAGTGACTGTGGCTGCTTCATAGTGCTGAGACTTCGCCCCTGCGCCCCAGGGAGGCCTCGTCACCCACTGAGTGGCCTCTGCCCCTCCCAGGTACCGGGCCCCACCCCGGCACCTGCCCCTGCCGGCTCTGTGCGGGCCTCGGCCCTCCCCCCAAGGGCCCTCGCTCAGCAGGGGCCGCCCCCTGCTGCTGCCCGTGCCTTGCGGTCAGCCTGGCGCCTCCTCCCCCAGGCTTCGGCTCCTTCGTGGACAAGACGGTGCTGCCTTTCGTGAGCACCATGCCCGCCAAGCTTCGCCACCCCTGCCCCACCCGGCTGGAGCGCTGCCAGCCCGCCTTCAGCTTCCAGCACGTGCTGTCCCTCACTGAGGACGCCGGGGCCTTCGAGCGGGAGGTGGGGCGCCAGAATGTGTCCGGCAACCTGGACTCGCCGGAGGGCGGCTTCGACGCCATCATGCAGGCTGCGCTCTGCCAGGTGCGGGGGGCGGGCAGGGCTGCCCTGAGGCGCGCTTCCAGGGGCGCCTTTCCCGTCACAGTTGCTGTGCTTTACAAATCCGCCGCCAGCTTCCTGGTCGCTGGAGGCAGAGCCGAGCCCCTAAATCTCCAGACGGCCGCCCTGCTTCGGGCCTGGGGCAGGAGGCGGAGCAGGGGACACCAGTCCCTGGCTCAGACAGGGCGGGGCCAGCCCCGCAAAACCCCCCCCCAACCCCCCCAGGAGCAGATTGGCTGGAGAAACGTGTCCCGGCTGCTGGTGTTCACGTCGGACGACACCTTCCACACGGCGGGGGACGGGAAGCTGGGCGGCATCTACATGCCCAGCGACGGGCGCTGCCACCTGGACGGCAACGGCCTGTACCACCGGAACCGCGACTACGTGAGTCTGCCGCGGCCTCCCGCTGCCCCGGGCAGCCAGAGCCTCGCTGCCCACTGGCGGGCCCCTCCCCTCCTCGCCGAACCTCCTGGGCTGCTAGAGCCCTGGGCCCCCCTGCCCGGCCAAGGGCATGTCGCAGGGTGCAGGGCCGTGCCGCTCACCTTGCCGCACCCCCAGGACTACCCCTCCGTGGGCCAAGTGGCCCAGGCCCTCTCTGCGGCGAACATCCAGCCCATCTTCGCGGTCACCAGCACGATACTTCCCGTGTACGAGGTGAGAGCGGTCAGGACGGGTCCTGCCCGGCCTCATTCCCTCAAACACCCTCTCTCGCCCACCTCGGAGACCCTCCTTTCAGACCCCCGGGAGCCCCTTGCCAGAGCTGTGACCGACTGTCTCCGTAACTGCTCGGACGCAGGAGCTGAGTAAGCTGATCCCGAAGTCTGTGGTGGGGGAGCTGAGCAAGGACTCCAGCAACGTGGTGCAGCTCATCAAGGACGCCTATAATGTGAGGACCAGGGAGGAGGTGGCCGGGGGGCAGCCGGAAGTGGCGTCAGGGGCCTGAGGCGGTGCAGACCCCCCACAAGCCCTCTGGCTTCAACCTGCGGTTTGCATCTGCCTGTCCTTGATGGCTTCTACGCCACTCCCATGCGCAAGACTAGAATGCCTGCTCTAGGCAGAGCACAGAGCAGAGCACGGAGCCTGGGCAAGAAAGCAAAGTAACATTCACTGAGCTTTGATTTTGTGCATCTCGTTTGAGCCACTGAAGGCCGCCTGCAGGCCTCTCTGGCAGCCTAGGGCTGGACACCATCACCACTAAGGCTTGAGCCTATGTTCAACCCCGGGGACCCACAGCAGACCTCTCCTGTCTCCCAGCTGCCCCCCGCCGGCACTGGATTTCAGCAGATGCACCTGCTCTGCTCCCCACTCTGTCTCCAGTGAACCCTCTCACCCCCAGCCTTTATCCCAGCTCTTCTATGCAAAAAACAAAACCAAACCCTGCTTGGTGACTCTTCATCACCCCAGTTTTGTGAGGACGCAGAGACAGGAGGCTTAGTGGCAGTTCAAGGCTGCCGACATTCACTCCTCAGCATGCACCGACAGTGGAGAATGCCCTGGTGGGCTGCTCACTGCTTCCCTCAGCACACACGCAATTCAGACAGGCTTCAGGGGAGCCACTGGGATTACGGGTAGAGCAAACACTCTCAGGCATTTCTTGGGCTTAGGTCTCATTTCTGCAACTAGCCAGTAGGCCCCTAGATGACAAGGACGTGTCCTAAACCCACGGGGAGAACATCTGAGACATCACACGTGGGGTTTGAAAATCAAAGCGACCCCGAGGCCCAGCCCCTGGCCAGCGGCCTCGCTGCGGCTGCAGTGGGGCGTGGCAGAGGCCAGGACCGCGGGGTGCCCGCTCCAGCTTCTGATGGGCGGGCCTTCCTCCAGAAACGCCCCGCGTGGGCGGGCCGCAGGGGCCCCAGGTGGGCCAGCGGCTGAGCGGTGGCAGCCGTGGGTGGCCGGAGCGGGCACGAGGCCGGGCCGGGCCGCTCACTCCCTCTCTTCCAACAGAGCCTGTCATCCACCGTGACGCTGCAGCACGACCCACTCCCGGCCGGGGTCTCCGCCTCCATCGAGTCTCAGTGCGGGGGCGCGGAGGGCGCAGAGGGGGCTGCGGGCGGGCACCAGTGTAATGACGTCCGGATCAACCAGATGGTGAGAGCCAGTCGGACAGGCGCGGGGCAGGCCGAGGGGAAGCGCGGGCAGGCCCGAGAGCAGCGTGGCCGCCCTCCGTCCCTCCTGGAAGGGGCGGGTGGCGGCTTCCGCAAGCGCGATTCTGAGACGCGCTTGGCACGCGCCACCCTTGCGGGTCTGCAGCATAGGGGTCTGGGCGACCCCCGGGGCGGGGACGAGCGCGACGTTGGCCTGTTCCTGCCCATCCTGCCCGCAGGTGAACTTCCAGATTACTCTCCAAGCTACCCGGTGCCTCCCAGAGCCCCACGACCTGACGTTCAAGGTCCTCGGCTTCAGGGACGAGCTGACTGTGGAGCTGAGCACCCTGTGTGACTGCAACTGCAGTGACACCAAGCCCAACGCGCCCTACTGCAGTGGCGGCCAGGGGCACCTGCAGTGTGGGGTGTGCAGGTGAGGGCCTCCTGCGTCTGCTGCCCCGTGACCAGCCTCCGTGCTCCTCTTCCTTAGCCCCCGGCCTCCCGCTGGAGCCTCTGCACCCCTCCCACCCCGCACCTCTCCTCCTGGCGCCTCCCGGGCCCGCTAAGGCCTCCCCTCCCAGCTCCGGTCTACTCTGGACTCCGAGGCCCGTCCTTGGGCTCAGAGAGCCCTGGGAAGGGCGGCTGGGGTGCTGGGCGCCGACCCTTCCTCTCCTCTCCTCGCCCGCGGCCGCGCCGCCAGTTGTGCTCCGGGCCGCCGGGGTCGGCTCTGCGAGTGCTCGGAGGCCGAGCAGTCCTCCCCGGACATGGAATCTGGGTGCCGAGGCCCCAACGGGACGGGACCCCTGTGCAGCGGGAAGGGCCAGTGCCAGTGCGGGCGCTGCAGCTGCAGTGGGCAGAGCTCCGGCCGCCTGTGCGAGTGTGACGACGCCAGCTGCGAGCGCCACCAGGGCCTGCTTTGTGGAGGTACCGGGGGCTCTGGGGAGGGGGGGCAGAGTGGCTCCGCTTCGGTGGTTCTCAGGCCTGGGGGCTTCGGGCCCGAGGGCAAGTGTGGAAGATGCTGGCGGAGGGCTGGGAGGGCGTCAGCACGCCGAGGGGGAGCTGGACGCCCGGACGGAGGCGCCGAGGGAGCACGCGGAGCGGGGAGGGCGTCACCGCGCGTGGCTCTGCTCCAGGTTTCGGCCTCTGCCAATGTGGAGTGTGCCACTGTCACGCCAACTACACGGGCAGAGCGTGCGAATGCAGCGGGGACACGCACCGCTGCGCCGGCCCTGCGGGCGGGCTGTGCAGCGGCCACGGGCACTGCAGATGCAACCGCTGCCGCTGCTTTACTGGCTACTACGGCGCCCTGTGCGACCAGTGCTCGGGCTGCAAGACGCCGTGCGAGGACTTCCGGTGAGACCTCGGCCTCGCGCCCGGGGGGGTCGGCGGGCGCCCACGGCCGGTGGTGACGCCCCGGCACGCACTGCACAGGGACTGTGCCGAGTG